CCCCGGCCTTTTCTCAGCGCTGCTTGGCACAAAGAGACTTCCCCGTCTCCCCTGCGGCTCCCGATGAATACATCTCGAAGACGTTTTCCGAGGGCTGATGCTGGCCCTGCCGTGTGATTTCCCCTCTCTGCTGACCGCCTGGCTCAGTCCAGCTTCATCGCTCTCTGCAGCCAGCAGGGAGAGGGAGGCTGGTGCCAGGGATAAAGCACTGGAGAGTCAGGGCTGGGATGGCATTCCCTGCTCTGCCACAGACCCTCTCAACGGCCTTGGGTAGGTTACTTAGTCTCCCTGAAGAAACAATGGGAAGAACAGCACCTCCTAGAGCTGTTGTGAGGATAAATACACCACAGCTTGTGATGGATCAGGTAAGTATCTTAGATGTGGGGCACATAGGGAAGGACTAATCCAGGGTCCGTGTTCCCTATAGGCGGAACGCTGGGGCGGCCGCCCTGGAGAGATTTAGCTGCCACCCAACTGATTAGCAGAGCACCCACCGACTCCCACAGCTGGTGTTTCTGCCAGTGGTGCACATCTGAACATGCCTCGGTGCACACAACAAAATGTATTCTGCACAGGGATGGAAAACTATAGAGGAAACATTGCCCAGGGTCACCTCTTCCCCATCTGAACAATGTCCCCAGGGGGCATAAAGTCAGGCTCCGGTATCTTAGATCTGTGGCCCATGGATCAAGAATTCAACCCTGGGGCATGCCTCTCCCATCCCTGGGCAGCACTGGAACCAGCAGGAAGGCTCCAGGCTGGCTCTTAGCAGCAGCGTGGGGAAGTTTGAGGGCACTGGCTGGACATAGCTGCTCCTCTTCGCCCCGCCAGTGTGTGATGAGATGCCGGGGCCCCGGCAGGCTGGAAGCAGAGGAGTCTGGCAGCTGCTTGGCTTGTCCCCAGCTTTGCCAGCTCCTCCTTGACCCTCATTTCTTCAGCCCCTCTCCTGCCCCTCCACTGCCCCGAGCCAGTTCCTTCCTTCTCAGCAGCTTCTCTCCTTGTTGGAGGGTCACCTGCTCTGCCCCTCATTCAAGGCCCTCCCCCCCCACACACACACCATGTGAGGATTAGTCATCCTGGATCACAAGGTGCATTGTCAGCCTGCAGGAAACCAGAGCAAAGAAGAGACAG